TTTCTTGTACCTTGTACTATATTCATCTATAAATAAAGAACTGGTCGACTGGCTAGTACAGCTCGACATTCTATTCTTTTCTGTCATTCTCTTTTATTTCTTGCTACTTCGAGTATAGCACTTCAGATTACAACTTGTAGTTACCTAAATCTTTCAACAAGGGGAAAATCAAGGGTTGGTTCCTATAAAACTTGTTTATATGTCACTTTCCTTTGGTTTCGGAAGTGTATTGAAGTTGGGACTGGTTTTTCCTCATCTCAGTTAAATTAGCAAAAATAAGGATATATCATCATATATAAAAAATATTCCTTCTTGAAAAATTTCTTAAGAAAAAATAATAGAACTAGTAACTAATAAAGTTTAGACCTCAAAATGGAATTATTTGAAAAGGAACCGCTATCCCCAAAAATCACGTTCTTTATTGTGAATTGTTAACCAAACTGGAACCAAACAGACTTAATCATTGATCTCTATTTTTTCTTTTGTTGAGAATAGCGAAGTTTTGACTTGTATCAAAAACAAAAAGCTGATAACTATAGCTCATGTACAGCCAAAAGGAACTATACAAAGTTTCTGTTACTGTTAGAAAGAAATTAACATGAAAGCAGTGTAACCTATCAAAAAATAAGTTAAGCTCTACACCCAGTAATTCCTTATGTACTGGGAACCAATAAGAAAATACCATTGAATTAGGTCTCTATGTTACAGGAAGAAAAGGAAAAGAAAAGATAAGCAGGAAGGGAAAGGCAAACAAAAAGGACCAGTTGTACAACACTAAACTATACACCCACCTCTATGGCAAAAGATCCCAAGGGTCCCAAGGACCAACTGATATTGGATAGAATTGATAAAAGATTGCAATGTGGTAGGTATTTGTCTCTTGGGGGTAGGACAACATTAATCAAGTTTCTTGTGCAGTTTACCGATTCGTTATCTATCCCTTCTAAAGTTATCAGAAAAAAAAAAAACTTCTAAAAGTCCCATCTTCTATGGTGGAGAAAGTGGAGAAATTGCAAATTTTCTTTGGGGTGGGGGACGGGAATTGGAAGAAAGTTCACCTTGTCAAATGAGGTTAGGCTTGGAGACCCAAGAAATTGGGATCAAAAAAATTGGAGGGTTAGGCTGCTGGGGTTTACAAAGATTAGAGCATTTAACAAAGATTTGTGCCTGGGTAAATGGATTTAGAGGTTTGGATTGGGTAGAGAAAGTGAAGCTCCGTGGAGAAGAGTGATAATGAGTAAATTTCGGTGGTTAGGTTTGAATTGCACCCAATAGAGGCATCATCTTCCTATGATTATGTGTTTTGAAGAGTACGTTGCATCAATCATTTCTAATCTTAATTCAAAATGGGGGATGGGTCAAGAATAGTGTTTTGAGAGGACGAGTGGAGTGTAAGGGAGGTCATGCAATCTCTATCCATGGCTATATGGGTTGATCCCACCCAATATCACTATTGGCCCATGCTAGGAATAAAAAGGTGACCAGTTGATCTGGTGCCCAAGGTTTTTGATACCCCTTCTTGAAAGGAAGAAGGAAGAATGCATCATGCTGTTGAACAAGTTTGAAGATGTGAAGATTTCTATATTGGAGAGAGATGAAAGATGGAATACAAACCCAGACTCATCAAGTACCTCCATTATATAGACCCAAAATTGACCCAAAATTGTGTCACAAATCTTCTCTATTCACTTATTTGAATTCAGGTTGCACAAGAGAACAATCTATGATACGAGGCCATATATTCCCAACCACCTTGTTTCTTGAATGCTCTTTCTCTTCAAAGATACACCCATTGGCCATTTCTTTCTTTCCAAATGCACCAGTAAACTGCAAATGGAATGATACTCAAAAGAACTTTGACTCTCTTCCCTCCAATCCTTGGCCATGTACAAAGTTTCTTTGCCCCTTTTAAATTTGAACCAAAAAAATGATGAGGCTCAAACATTAAAACCTGCAATGAAGCTACAAAACCGGGAGATGGGTTGGCTTGAGTCCTCGACAGATCTCACTACCAGTCAGTCTATGATGCACTAGTATTCTATCAGATGATTTCAACACCGATCTGAGAGAGAGAGAGAGAGAGGGAAGTTAAATGCATGATCTCAATGCTGATCTAAAAGATAGTCTGCTAGATCTATTGCAGTGTCCATGGAGAGAGAAGAATTTACAGTGACCACATGATTTCAACACTATAAGAGATTTTGGACCATAAATGAGGGCTAATTTATCTTATATGCTTGACTATTAAAAATATATTTCCCATATGCTCAATTTTCTTTCATGAAAAACATGGATAAGGAAAAACTATTGCTGGCATTTCACTTAGGACTGAAGTGTAAGCCCTTCACATTATTGGCTGACATTCTGTCAAGCTTCCCTGTACCTCTCATGACACCCAGTTTCACTAGCTCATGGCATAAAAGGCTAAGACCTTAATCATAACCAATATTATCCATTCAATGAAATTTTCTATCAGTGGCCTAAGATTTTCCCAGTCTTATTCTTCAATTGATTGAAGACCAACTTTGCAAACCCATAACCACCCAAGAAAACACTCTCATTGTCTCTTGGCGAAATTTTATTTCAAGTGTCTTATTAGAATTAACACTAAATTAGGGGTCACAAATTGACAGGAAGAATAATCGCAATGTTATACCGGTTCAGATCAGAGCACTTCCTTCTACATGCACATAGATTCATCGAAATACAGAAAAAGTGGGTGTGAAATTACCAAACCTTTCCTAATAGAGTGTATACAGTAATTCTTGTTCATGTGTTGTTGTTAGCATGCGATAAGGTTCAAACGTGCTTTCTACATTTAATGTGCCATACTTGTCATGAAAATCTCTTTTTACTGATGTAGATGATATTTTATGTAGAGGGAATTTGAGAGTATGGCAAACCATTTCCAGAGTCACCCTCACATTCGGTTGATATTGAAGTATGATGAGGCTCTCTCACATTCCATATATGCAGCATCTGATATGTTTATTATCCCATCTATCTTTGAGCCATGTGGCCTTACACAGGTATTATCCCCTTTTGTTGATTGAAATTGCTTAAATGAGGATAGCACGTGTCACTGCACAGAGCTATTGAGAATACTTTCTGATGCATCACTACCAATGTGTTAGATGTATGACGAAACCATCATCATCCTATGAGTGCATGAATGCCTGTAGATGAATAGAGCTTTGATAGAGAAAGGTTCTCATTCGTTTAAGTTTATTATATATTTGAACTTCTACTTTTTTATACAGATGATAGCAATGAGATATGGTTCTGTGCCCATTACAAGACAAACTGGTGGTTTAAATGACAGGTTGGTTCTAGAGTGTCTCTTTTAAATGATCTTGACATTTATACTTGAGCCTTTTCTCTGCATTCTGCCTGTCCTGTTCAGCACCATATCCATTGTTCAATTGTGGGTCTTTAAAATCATTTCTTACCGTACTTCAACCCATGTCCTTTTTGGCCTGTCCCTAGCTCTTCTAGCCCCTTCAGCTCTAATAGATAACTGGTGCTGTCGATGGTTGGATGTGCACATCCAACCGTGCACTAGGAACATCTCCCCATGACAAGTATGGGAGGTATTCCCAATGCACGATTGGATGTGTATGTGGGGCACACTTTGTGGGGAATCCATCCGAACTCCTCTCCATGTGCCCAAACCATCTAATTAAATAATAACATTTTAGTTAATTAACTCTGAATTAAATGATTATTTAATTTCATTTGTAAATATAATTAATTTACTATTTCATAATTAAATAGTAACTTCACTAATTAATAAATTTGCTATTAATTATCATGATTTAATAAATTATTCACAAATAAATAAATAAATAAATAAATAAATAAATAAATAAACAACTATTTATTTATTAATATATTTACTTATTCATTTACTATTTATATTATGAATTTTTAACTAATTAATTAGTTTAATTATAAAATACTAATTAGTAATCAAATAATAACTTTAATAATTTTTATTAATAAAGTAATTAATAATTTAATTATTAATTTTAATGATTGTTTAAATACTAATTTTTATTATTAATTATTGTTTTATTATTTCATTGTTAATTATTAATGCCATTAGTTAAGTTCATAACTAATTGTCATTCATTGAATAATAAATTATTTTAATATTTAATAGTTCAATGGTAATTTAAATATTTTTAATAAGTAATTAATTTATAATTTCACTACTAGTTATTATGGTTTAATTAATTATTAGTTGCTAATCTAATTAGTCATCAATTATTTAATGATGAGTAAATTATTATGTATTATGTATTTATTATATTTTCATATTATTGTATTATTTTGATTATGAATTTTACTTAGTGAATTAATTAATTAATTGAGTTAGGAATTAGCAATTGTAATTTTATTTATTGATTAAATAATTAATTAATAAATTATAGCAATTAATTCATTAACGAATCAATAATAATTTAATGATCGTTACACGTTTTTGATTGAAATTTGAAATTATGTAGTTATTATTTTGTTAATTAATAATTTTGATATGCAAATCAAATAATTAATTATTGATAAACTTTTTATTATATAATTAGGTAGTTATTAAAATATTTATTTACTTGTTTAATAAGTCATTATTTTTATAGTTATTTAATTATTTTATTTGTTATGAATTGATTATTAATTTAAGAATTTATAATTATGTAAAAAAATCCAAATATATAATATTTCAATGTAAAAAATATAATAACCAAATAGATTGGGTATTAGAGCAATATTCTCTGCATTTGGGTATTAGAAAAAAGCAGAAAGGCAATTCTTTTTAAAGCACTGTTTTCAGTGCTTTCCAACTCAAATGTGAGAGGTCAGTATCATAGGAACAACACCTTAGTAGTCTACTATACTTTCCCTCATTTTATCACCTATTAGAGCAACTCCTAGGTTCTTCAAATAGGTCCACTTCTGATCTTATCCTCTCTAGTTTCCCACTCATCCACCTCAGCATTCTGGTTCTCGATAATCATTTTTTGGACATGTGGTTTCCTTATTGCTCAACATTTTATTCCAAAGACTAGAGGTCTTTCTATCTTGACTAAGTTCTCCATAAATCCTTCTTCTTGTAGTGTTTTTGATGTTGATGATGATATGGTTCCAGTTCGCTTTCGCAATGGTTTTACATTTTTGACACCTGATGAGCAGGTAATGAAGCTGCCTATAATAGAATTTGACTCATCTTTCTTTTATTAATTTTCCTTTGTGGGATTTGTGGGAAACATGTTTCTGAACCATTTAAATATTTTCTCCTCTCCATTCATCACTTTGATTTTGCAAACATCTCTAAAGGGAGTAAACAGTGCTTTGGATCGTGCATTTAACTACTATGCCAATAATGGTGAGAGTTGGCAGCAACTTGTTCAAAAAGACATGACAATAGATTTTAGTTGGGATTCTTCAGCATCACAATATGAAGAGCTTTATGAGAAGTCTGTGGCTAGAGCAAGGGTGGTACATCGGACTTGATCCCTGTCTGGAGTTTGTTTTGTTACAGTAGAAGGTGGTGTGTTTTTTCCAAAACCCATGCACCTGCACATCTGACGGAACTGTGTGTGGTTGGTTGTTTCTAAGAAGCACATCCAGAGCTTGCCTTAATTTTTGTCCGTGGACAGAAAAAAGGTGCAGTAGCATTGAAAGAATTTTGAAGCTGATGATTCTGAGTGGAGTTCAAAGGTAGATGGAGATTGATTTCCTAAATAAAGTGCAGTTTACATTTCTTACCTTAGGTCAAGCCATTCTTTTGTTCTTGATGAACAACAACAATAACAATGTATATGTGTTCCCTTTATATTCTGTTGAAGCAATTTTCTTTCACCTGAAGAAAGTCGTCTAGCTTTGTTATATTCTGTTTCAACAGGTAAGGTTTTGATAATCAATGTAAAGTACATTTAAATCATATAAGTGCTTAAATATGGATGATATTTGTTAATAAATACTCAATTAGATGTTCATGTAAAATGTATCCTTTTCCTTCTCTTCTAAAAACTTGAATTATCTTGTACATTCTTCCCAAATTACTGGTTATATTCTTTGATTGATTATTTTGCTTAAATTTATAGGCAGAAGAGCAACAAAAACAATGAGCTTAGGAACTGTGGCTTCAAATAAGCCCCCTTTGTTTCATTGTAGAAGGGATGGAAAACTTGTTCAAACTGAAAAATTTCAATTATATTTTCAGCCCTGCTACGGAGGAAGGTTTGTTATCTGCTCGTACATGGTCACAAAGACAGCCTTGAAAGAAAAAGTTCCCCAACCAAAAACTCACAACAGGCAAGGAAGAGATTGATTGCTAGAGGTTATTGAAGAATCAAAACACAAGAAGGTATTCAGCATTAATTCACAAAATCCACATCTTTGCATGAATTTTCACCAATTTACTCCAGCATTAATAATCTCACATTCTCAACAGCTTCCTACACGCTTTGTTCTTTTGAAAGAATAATTCTCTCCCCACTCTCACTCACTTTCCAGGGACAAAGTTGGTGGCGTAGGCCCAGGCATTGTTGTTGACAGGATCTGCAAGGTGGTCAGCAAGGTTCTCCAATGGACCCTTGCCAGTCACAATGGCCTGGACAAAGAAACCAAACATGGAAAACATGGCCAATCTGCCATTCTTGATCTCCTTCACCTTGAGCTCAGCGAAAGCCTCTGGGTCATCAGCAAGGCCAAGTGGGTCGAAGCTGCCGCCGGGGTAGAGTGGGTCTGTCACCTCACCAAGAGGCCCGCCGGCGACACGGTAGCCCTCGACGGCACCCATCAAGATAACTTGAGTAGCCCAGATGGCCAG